CACACACACACACACACACACACACACACACACACACACACACACACACACGAGTGTCTACCCGCGCATCTTGTCCCGCGCCGCACTCTGTTGTGTCGGGTCTCGCGGGAGCAGGTCTCTAATCCACTGGCACTTGACTCGACAGTGCATGTGCTACATCCTTTTTACAATCTCTAGATTATAAAACACTGCATTCTGTCAGCAATGTAACGCAGCAGTAACGTATAGACACCTTGGCTTGTAACTATACTCTAATTACTATTTTGAAAATTATAACGCGTTAAATTACTCCGTTACTAAAAAAGCATAACGCGTTACTAAGTAATGCGTTACTGCCCAACACTGTATATAACAAACCTGATTCGGATCATTTAGCTTGTTAGGAAAGAGCTCCATGAACTGCACTACCGTGTGAAGGATAAAAGAGACATTCAACATGTGCAGAGCGGTGGGTCCCCAGGACCAGGATTAAAAAATGCTGCTCTAGTGGACACTATGGGGAATGAACTTGACATTAGCATTTGTCATTTGTCAGCATTTGTCAGCATTAGCATGACAGTCTATGATGTCACTACCAGTGCGACCGTGATTAAAAAAGGGTGCCTGTAGAACACGCCATCCACTTCTTGTCTGAAAAAGACGTGCACAGGAATACCTGAAGCAAGGCTACAGGACGCAGTGTCTCGTTCCCCTTCTTAGGGAACTATGGTTACATGCGTAATCTGAGATGTTCCCTTTCAAATGGGAATTCGCACTGCATTCTCTAGTGCAGGCGTATGCAAGTTCAGTCATAGAGAGCCACTGTCCTGCAGAGTTTAGCTCCAATCCTGGAAAAAAACCTCACCTGCCTGTATCCTTTGTAATCCTGAAGACATTGATTATCTTGTTGGGGTGTTTTTGATTAGGGTTGGAGCTAAACTCTGCAGGACAGCGGCTCTCTAGGACCGGACTTGCCTACCACTGCTTTAGTGGATACTATTAGGAACTAAATACCCACTCCACCATGCTAAAAGGATGAGTGCCTAAATGGCTGAGACTGAGGTTTCCAGGCTGCAACACAAGTTAGAATTGTGCAGAGGACTCATCTGGTTCCCGTGGTCTACTTTACTTTAGTATTACTAAATTATTCTTTTTCTATTTTTACCCAAAATGAGACGATGTGAGCATTAGGGAGCAGGGTTAACCCTAATCCTAACACCCATGTACTGTAATGTCTGTTTCACAAGTGAGACCCAGGAAATCCCTTATATGTACAAATGCATCAGATATCACTACAGCTGAATAACATGCAGATAGAGACACTTTGACTGATGAAACGTGGAAGACAATAAACACACAATTGCAATGCAATGCTAATTGACTTAGCTTGTATCACAGTATAGAATTTTATAAAAAAATATTTTCTGTCTCACTGTGATAAGAAGTCACATGGAACCACAGAAGCTAACTATTTTAAACACGACTGATGTTATAAAGTGATTTTGGAGCAAAACATGATATTAGTCTCATAAATTGTCATGTTTGATGCTATGTTAAGCAAACATACTACCTATCCCTGTTGCCAGGAGCAACTGTTTTATAACTAATTTTGAAAAGTACATTCACGTATAAGATTATGTGGTTGTTTTTAAGAAGGGCAAAAGCAAAGAAGGGTAAGTGAGGGTTTAAAAGAAAATAAAGGGTCTAAAACAGTGTTAATAGAAAGGTGCCAGTAAAAATTAATGTGGGGTGTGGGTAAGGTTGGGCATTGTTTGAATTTTAATGATTCCGTTTCTTGTCAATTCCTAATTTCGATTACAATAAGATAAAAAATAAATAAATAAATACAAATAAATCTTAGATATCCTCTTATTACAAAATATTTCATAGTTAGCTGAATACTATGAATGAAAATCAAAAGGCTAAAGAACACTTACACAAGGATGTGTGTCCAGCAGAGAAAACAGCCCGCGAGTCTTCTTGACTTGAATGGTTTAAAATCACATTGAAAGTGTAGTTTGTTATAATAACAAAGGTGGACTCCAGGCACATTTTCGGTAGGACAAAAAATAGCATTTTATTTAACATGTTAACCCATACCTTGGCTTGGGAGTCCAAAATCTATTCCAATTCTGGATTAGGATGCTTAAGGTCAGGGATCGTCTACTTGTTATAAAATTAAAATTTCGATTCCTCTTATCGATTCCTTTGCGCGCATTTTAATATGACTTTAAACCCTTCAAGCACCAAAAGACTTGTGCACTGTTTTCTGTCCTGCAAACATAGGGGCGCAGCCATCATTTCAGAAATGAGGGGGACAGAAATGTAAAAAAACATTTTGTCTAATTGACAGGCTTTATTTTTTCTTATGTCTTTTAATTGGCTAAGAAATCAAATACACTGCTGGGCGATATCCAATGATTTGTATTCTATAATATTTTTTTCTGTATTTTCCTAATGACAATTTTAGGATTGGTTTATACAAACACATAAGGCAGAATATTTTCTATACTGTAATAAATGTTATATCAATTAGCACTACATTATTCATATACTATTTATTACCTGGAAATGACCTGAAATTACCTTTTTTTAAGCTATACAGCGATAGCAGGATGCCTTTGTCCATATTAGGGATTTCCTGCATGTCATAAATTATTATATATTACTTCTACTAGGCCATTTTGGACTTTCTGCGCGAGAGCGCCCTCCGGCTTAGAGTATGAATGAAACATGCACTATATGTTCACATCATCTCGTTTTGGATATGTAAAAATCATTCGGTCATACATACACTAGCCTATCTAGTTTCTTCGCCCATGTGCACACACATCCAAAGCATGCTGTAACGATTCAGTCCACCGAAGGCGAGTGTAGTGAAGAACCCAAGTGCAGTTTATTTACAAAGTGATCCAAACATCCAAACAAGATACACAGACTTGACTTGACTAGGCATGAACAGACTTGACTAGGCATGACAATGTATTGTTCAAGTGACCAGTGTGGGGTATTGCGTGGCATTAATTGTGAAATGCTATTGTCCAAACCAAAACGGAAAGTATCCTCGAGAGCAACATTGTTAAAGTTCACCTGATAACAAAGTTCACAAAAATCACTCACGTAATCCTCTATAGGCCTGTCACCTTGACGAAGGCAGAGGAGGCGTGAAACTGCTGGGTTCATTTTAATGGATTGTGTATTCTGTAACAATTCAGTCCACCGAAGGCGAGTGTAGTGAAGAACCCAAGTGCAGTTTATTTACAAAGTGATTACAGCAGGTTACAACTTCAATACATGATGAGAGACAATGGCAACATGAGGGCTATTTGTATCAAACAAAGAGGGTCACATGACATGAACAAACAAATGGGAAACAAGACACATGACCTAGACAACCAATCAGAACATGACACAATGAACAAGAGAACCAATGGCATGAATACATGAGGGCAAGGGAAGCATGACACAAACAGGGAGCATGACTAA